AATTTTAAATAAAAAAAAATTTTATTAAAATTAAAAATTATAAATTTAAAATTATAACCTCACACAATTTTTAAATTTGTAAACTTATTGTGTAAATAAATTAAAATTTCAGAAAATTTTTTTAAAAAAAACTAAATAATAATTATAATAATAATTATAAATAATAATTATAATTAATTATAATAAATTTTTTTTTTTTTTTTTTGAAGGTATAATTTTTTCTTGCTGTTTTTTAATTCTTATATTTTTAAATTTTGTAGTAATGATAAATTTATAGTCAGACTATATTATACATTATTTACATAATATTATTAAATATTATTATATGTATATTATTATTATATATTGTTATATGTATATTATTATTATATATTATTTATTTTGTAATTATTATTATTTAGTTTTTTTTTTTTTAAATTTTCTGAAATTTTAATTTATTTACACAATAAGTTTACAAATTTAAAAATTGAGTGAGGTTATTTTTTTCTAAGAGTAATTTTTCTTTTTTTCAAAATTGAAGCAATAAAGGGAGAAGGGGTAATTTTTTAATTTCCCTTGATGTACATTTCTAGATTGCAAAGTGCTTTTTTTGCCTTATTTTAAGGCGTGCATTTTATGGTGTTTCTTTTCTAGAAAAAAGTGAAATAAAAGGAAGACGAGGAAGAAAAAGGAGGACGAAGAAGACGAAGGCAGAAGAAGTAGAGAAGAGAAAATCGAGAAGCTCCAGTGGTTGCAACTAGAGACATGAGAATAACGTTACAGTTTGCGAGAGAGTGAATGAGAGACCTGAGTGCACGGTTCATACTTCTTACAAGCACGCAGAGGTTCTCAAAATAATTTTTTCCTTTTTCCTATTTCTTTTCTCTTTTTATTTTTCTTCCTCTTTTTCCTTCTCCTTTTCTTTTTTTTCTTCTTTTTCTCTATTACCTTCTTTTTCCCTTTTCCTTCTCTTTCTCTCTTCCCTTTTTTTCTTTTTTCCAAAAAAAGGCACAACCAACTTAAATGTCCCCTAAAAAATCAACTCCCACCCTTTTCTCTTTCTCTTTTTCTAAAAACACAAATTGCTTTTAAATTGACTCGATCACTGTTTCTTCTTTTTTTTTGTTTCTTTTTCTTTTATTACAAAAGTGATGGTTTCTCGGATTTCACTTCAATATTCTTTCGATTTCCTCAAGATTTCGATTCCCGCATTTCATCGCATATTTTTTTTGCGCAACTATATATATATATATATAAAAGCGTGTACACAGTGCATACTCGGAAAAAAAATGGGTAGAGGGATCATGTTTCCGGTCGGGTGTGTCTCCTCGTTTGAAAAAGTATTTCTTTGGTATTTCTTTACGACAATTTTCAGGAAAATTGCTATATGGAATGTGGTATTGGTATATATATGCATGTCTAGGATGTTAGTACCTCCCCTCTCTCTCTCTTGCACTGGTATGTTTTGTGGCATTACATTACACGTGCTGGCAACTACAGTCCCGTATGAGTTCTACTATGCCGCACCTCTCTAATGTACATTTTCCACGTCGAAGTAAACTGCTGTATCACCAGTAAGACCATATAATGGAAAACCACAATTCTCACATAAAAGCACATTATTTCGGAAACTGCTTTCAATATTATGTGCAGGTGCGGAAAAACAAAAGGGACAAACATTTTTTTTTTCTTTTTTGTTTTGCAAAATGTGGCAAAAGAGAAAGAGACAAAAATTAACCAGTTTCTCGTATTTCATTAAAGCGAGATTATCCTTATACTAATTATCTTGAAATTAGACAATTTTTCTGTTATTTTTGTTTATTTTGAATAATTCAGTTTTTCAGTATTTAAGCGAACTTATAATTAACTTTTTCTTTTAATTTTTACTTATAGGGCAAGAGAAAACTAGTGCGCAAAATTAAAAAAAAGTTTAAAGAATCGATTTTTGAAGTAAAGTTTAAAAATAGTTTATTGATGCCGGAGTTCAGTTTCAGTAGTGGAGATCAATTTAGGTCAGACGAAAAATAATCAAGTAAATTTTTTCCAAAGGGCAACTCTCATTTATGTAGAAAATCAAAATGAAATTTTTGAATTTAGTAGTAACTAACATTCATATTCAGACATATATTTCCCGAGTTTAATTATAACAATTTTCTGTATAATGATTTGAATATTTTTAAATAATATTTTTAAGAAAAGAAGTAAATTACATTCAATCTATAAAAATTTGTATGTGTACTATTTATTCTCAGTAGTCAAAAATTGTTTAGTCAGACAAAGCAAATTTTTGGAATCAATTTGATGCTTAAAAGAAAAAAAGTGTAAATATTGAGAAATCTGTCGACAGCAGTTACAAAAGGTAATATAAATAAATAAATAACTAAAAAACAAATAATAATAATATTAATAAAAGTCTGAAAAAATTTCGCCAATATTTGACAAAGTAGAAAATACTAGAAGAAGGAATGTTTTTAAAAACCTGCTTTTACAATTTAAGTAGTGAAAGCCGAATGCAGTCAGACAAATATTCAGTGTTGTGGTAGTAGTAAACATAAATTTTAGTCAGACAGTGTTTAAATACAGTTTTTATGCTACTGTCTGACTAAGATTGATCTTTACTACTTAAATAATATTTTTATATAATAAACAAATATTCGCAATGCTGTAGCAGTAGAAAATATTCACTTTTGTCAGTCAGTAGAAAAATTGCTTTTAGTCAGACAGTAAAAATACAGTTTTTATACTATTGTCTGACTAAAATTGATCTTAACTACTTAAATAATATTTTGATATAATATTTGAATTATTTTCTTCATACTGATTTTTTTTGAATGCTACTATTTTCAAAATTAATAGAATCAAAAAATTTACAGTGAGACTATAATTTGGAAAGAATGATGAAAATAAAATTAAAGTAGTACAAGTATATTTCAGTCAGACATGATGTATACTTATAAATCTTGTTCAATTTTTGTCTTAGAATTATAAATTATTTCAAAAATAATTTTGAGAAATGAATTTTTTTCGAAAAATATACATTAAGATATTTTTAAAACAATGAATTCTTTAAATTTCTTTTTCATAATCTTTTAAAAATCAATTATCTTCAAGAAGAGTAAATTAAACTTTAAACAAAAATTTACAGTTTTAGTCTCTATTGTTAAAACCTTTTTTGTAAATATCGTGCAATTTTTATATTTGTAATTAAAATTCTTCAAAAACTTGATTATTTTTCAATATTTTTCAAAAATTCTTTAAAATTCTAAATTTTTTAACTAAATTTTATTTATTTGAAAATTATTCGCTTCCATATAATCAAAAAATTTAGTTATCAAAAATTATTTAAAAATATTTTTGAGAAACTAATTTTTAGATTTTTTTTTATTAGAGTATATTTAGTTAAAAATTTAGTTGAACTGTAAAAGCAAGTTTAAAAAAAACCGTCTGACTAAAAGTTGTATTTTCTACTTTTTTAAAAATTGTCGAAATTTTTAATTTTAGAAATTATTTATTTTCAATATTTTCGGTTACAAATTTTTAATAATTCAACATTCTTGTAACAGTAATCGTCTTTGTGTATATAAAAAACATGACAAAAAATGGGAAACTTTTTTCATATAATCATTTTATAATTTTTCTTTGCTTGCATTTTTTAAATATGTATTTTTCAATACTTTTCAATTTTTTTTCGATAAATTTTTTTTGGGTAAAATTTTTTGAATATAAACATATATGATTATAATCTTTTCGAAATACTCTTTGAAATTTACTATCTAAATTTTAATTGGTAAAAATTTTTAGTAATTTAAATTCGTGACTATGACTTTTTGCTTTTGAATTAGTAAACTTTACTAATAAATAGTAATTTCTACTAAAATATTAGTAAAATTTCCTAATAAATTACTAATAAGTTAGTAGAAATTTAAAAATCTTCAAAAATCTTTTTAAAAAACTAATATTAAATATTATGTATTTTATTATGTATTTTGAATTTTAAAAATTAATTTTTTTCAATATTTTTGGTTACATATTTTTCATGCTTCATCTCAAGTACTTTAAAAAAACCATGAAGAATTACTTCTAATAGTAAAAAATTGAAGAAAAAAAATCTTCATAGTATAAACAGGAATAAAAGAAAAATGTTTCTTTATTGTAATAAAAAAAAAAAATTTTCTCTCCTTGATCGTAACGAAAATCTATTGTCAGTTTCACATATGTACTCTATATATATATATATGGTTTAAAGGGATATAAAGTCAGAGTGAGAGCATTTAACAAGATCCGACGTGAAGGGGCATTTGACGATGCAGGTGTGCACTCGGTAATGCGAGATGGATACGGGCTATGCTCTCGTGTATCATCCGACCACTCGATCAATGCTCTATCGCAAGTTGACAGTGACTTACGCACTTGTTCCCTATCGCGTTGATATGTAAACATTGCTTTCCTTGCCGGTACTATCATTGCAAATTTTTTTTTTTACTTTTTCTTTATAATTCTAAAATTGACAGTGACAAGCCCTTTCCTACAATCAGTACATTAGTACTTATAAATTCTGAAACTGTCAATTAAATAAACAATCATAGAGAAAAAACTGTAAAAATCGAAAAGATGGAAATAAAAAATCTTACAAAGTAGTAGAAGTCACTATTAGTCAGACGTGATATGCCAAAAATCTTCCTTCCAAAAACAAAAAAAGAACTAACGAGAGTAAAAGAATTTTTTTTTCACAAAGATATAAATTGATAAATTAAAAATTACTAACAAAAATTAAATTAAAGAAAAAATTATAAAATTAAAAAAATAATAAACTTATAATGTTATAAACTTATAAATAAACTTTTTAAATTTTTTTTTAACTTTTTAAAAAAAATGCGGAAATAAATGGTAACTAAATAATAATTAAAATAAAAAACGAAAAAAAACAAAAGAAAAAATATATTTTTTTAAAAGAGTAAAATAGTTGATAAATATATAGAATAATTGAATAAATTATATAGAAAGAATATTTAAGTACTCACCAGACTCGAGAACAGAGTAACGTTGATTTGAAGTATCAATCGGCACCGAATTTCTCACCCAAGATATTATTGGCGATGGTGATCCAATTGCCGAGCAAGATAATGTTGCAAGGTGTCCCATTTCGACTACTTTGGTTGTGGGCGCCTGTGTAATCATTGGAAATCCGGTTGGTAAACTTTCAGCTGCAACAGAAATTATTTAACATCGTTAAATATAATCCCATTATTAATTTCAATAAAATATCGTTTTTCGATAATATTTTTTAAATAAGTAATTACTCATCTTAACTTTAAATCTTCTAAAATTATTAAGTTGATAAAAATTCATAGAAAATTCGGTATAAAAATCTATAATATAATATTGAAATTCATTTCTTTTACTATTATTTTAAAATATCCTTTTCACATTCGATTTTTTTATTAGATTTTCATTAGTACTATAAACGACAATATTTTTAGAGAACTGGATATTTATTTTATATAAATAGAATTTATATAAATTCTATTTATATAAATTTATATTTATAGTTTTATATTTATATTTTTATATTTATATTATTTAAAAGGAAAAGAAAGGAAAAAAGAAAATTTTTCTTCTAAATAATAAATCCAATTGTCGATTATTTATATAAATTTACAATGCGTCTGTAATATATTTTACGATCCTTTGGGATAACGCATTGGCGAAAACTCCCGTTACAGTGGATAGTCCATTGGGAATTTAAAAGTTATACTGGAAATCCATTGGAATCTGTTCGTTCTCCATTACCTCTCAGTAGAGAACAGGAGAAGTATACGTGAGGACAGTTCACTGATATGGATAGATGCGTCTTGCCTCGAATCGATGTCCACCGTTCGACGATTTGAATCAGAATTCAATATCACAGACGAAACTTTCAAAGTGAAAGACTTTGAGAGGAGAAGAACGAGAGAGGAAGACTATAAAGCAAAAAAAAGGGGAGATAAAAAAAAGTGAAAAGGAAAAAAAAGAGAAACGTAAGAAAGAAAAAAGGAAGGAAAAGAATAACGTAAGAAAGAGAAAAATAAGGAAGGAAAAAGAAAAAAGTTAAAATAGATAAAGAAAAATAATACAAAAAGAGAATAAAAATAATTTAAAAAAATTAAAAAGCAAAACAAGAAAAAAACACATAAAAAACGAAAAAGAAGAAAAAGATAAATTGAAAATAAGAGGAAGTCGATACAGAAGAAATAGTAAATAAAAGAAAGGAAATAAGAAAAAATAGAAAAGAGGTAAAAGGTAAAGAATAAAAAATACAAAAAAGGGACAAGAAGAAAAAGAAGAAATAGAAAAAAGAACAAATAGAAAAAAGGGTAAAGAATAAAAAAATGGAGAAAAGGGAGATGGAGAAAAAGAGGAAATATAGAAAAAATGGGAAAGGAAATAAAGAATGAAGTAGAAGAAAGGATAAAGGAAAAAAAAGAAGGGGACAAAAATACAAAAAGGGGCAAGTAGAAAAAAGACCAAAAAGGGAAAAGAAGAAATAGAAAAAAGGTGAAAGAAAAAAAAAGAAAAAATAGATGATAGAATAATGAAGAAAAAGAAAAGAAAAAAAAATAAATAGAAAAAAGAAAAAGAAGAATAAGAGAAGAAAGATAAAAGAATAAAGAAAAAAAATAAAAAATAAAAAAGAGGGAAGGATAAAAAGAATAGAAATAAAAAAAGAGGCAAGAAAAAAAAAGAAAAAAATATGAAAAGGAGAAAAAAGAAAAATAGATAACAGGGGAAGGAGAAAAAAAACTTGAGTCCATTTACATTCAAAAGAAGAATGAATAGAAAAAAATCTCAATTGCAGAGGAATCCTTTCATTTTGACATGACTTTTTTTCGACCACTTAAGTGATCACTAAAATGGAGACAAAAGAATATAAGGCATCATTTTTAGTCAGACAGAATTTTTTGAACCTTTCAATTTAGATGAAATTCTAAAAAACTAGAAGTTTACTCCGATTTCAGTAGTGAGAGTCAATTTTAGTCAGACATCATATTTTAAAAATTATTTTATAATTACTTTTTGGAAAAAATTTAACTTAAATGTTATTAAAGTATTTTAGTATTTATTTATTTATTATTATTTTTATTATTTATTATTTATTTATTTTTATTTATTCATTTATTTATTTATTTATTTATTTATTTATTTTTCTTATTTATTTATTTATTTATTTTATTTATTTATTTATTTATTTATTTATTTTTTTATTTATTTTATTTATTTTATTTATTTTATTTATTTTTTAGTATTTTAGCCAGACAAATTATTTTCGAAATACTTTTTAGTATTTTCAAAATATTTTTTTCGAAAAATTTAATTTAAAATATAAATTATAAATTTAATTAATGTAGAAAATGTAGAGTAATTTAAAAAAAAGAAGTAGACAATATATAAAATTAGTTAACACTTTCAGAATCAGTAGTAAGATATATTTTGGTCAGACAAACTTGTTAAATTATTTTTAGTTTTTGCTTCCTCATAGAGAAATATTTCAAATTTTTTTATTTAAATTCTTATAATTTTAATATTTTACATTAAAATCAGTAGTAAAGGTAGTTTTTAGTCAGACAAGGATTTACAATTGTTTTCCATCAAAAGTCAATCGTATGAGACAATTTTCGAAAGACAAAGTTTGTACTGTTGGTTTATTGCTCGTTCTTTACTAAATAAATTAGTAGTAAAATTAATTTAAAGTCAGACAAGAAATTACTTTTCATTTCAAATTAATTTTAGTAGTAAGCGACATTTTTTAGACAGAAGAGGCTTTTATTGTTTTCTTCTTTACCTAATTCCCAGTGAATAAGTAGTAAAAGTCAATTATAGTCAGACAGAACTTTTATTTTTGTCTTTAATTTTGACATTAGTATTAAACGTCAATTTAAGTCAGATAAGGGAAATTAAATTATTTTTTAATTTGAATTTGGTATTCTTGTAGCAGTGATAAAAAAGCATTATAGTCAGACAATGCATTTAATTCTAAACAAGTTAATATGAAAAATTACTTTAGTTGAAAAATAAATACAGTTTAAACAACAGTAGTAAAAAATACTTGAAGTCAGACAAATTTCAAAAAATAAAAAAAAGAAAAATAAAAAAATCTTTCTAAGTAGGAGAAGTCACTTTTTAGTCAGATTTGACATAACAGAAATCTTTCCAATTTAAGTAACAACTGTAAAAGAATTTTTTTTTTGTCCTCCAAAGATATTCCAAATTTTTCTAATCAGTAGTAAATGCCAATTTCAGTAAAGCAAAAATCTTTACCCATTTTTTTCTTTTTCGTAATTTTATTCTCAATGTTTGAGAGAGAAAAAAATTGTAATGAAATTCCTTTCTTGATCGTCTACGAGTGAAGAGAGTTGAATAAAATTTGAATTCAATGATACGGGGCAAAGAGGAGTGTGTGTATGTATGTATATATATACATTGAAAGCGGAACTAGAAAGGTTCGAGACACGATTTAGGCGTCTTTTGTGAAAGTTTGCCTGCTTATTCTTCTATTAGAATCACTAAAGTGGAGTTTTCAAACTAAGTCGCGCTATAATATGAAATATGTATTTTACAACTCTCAATTTTCTCTCTCTCACTCGCGTGATTTATATTCACCCCCCCCCAACCTCGAAAAAAAGAAGAAGAAAAAAATCACGCTTCAAATTGAGAACAGTAAATGTACTTATATTCAGAAAATGGAATTTAAAATTTTTATAGACAAATATCGAAACGTAACGTATAACAATGAAATTTTACTGTATACTTGTCGGTATGTTTTTCCAAAAGCTTTTACTTTTATTATCCCTAGAGAGAAAGAGAGAAAAAGAGGGAGAGAGAGAGAGAGGGAATTGTTCAGAGTATTTGACATAGAAATAATAACAATAGAAACTATACAATGCATAAAGAATTTTCCTGTTTTCAATGATAAAGCAATTTATTTTCCCCGCTTTATATTAGTAATTTCAATAATTACATAATAATTTTTATATTACCAAATTTCATACATTAGTGAATAAGCACTCATTAATGTATAAATTTTAATATCCCAAACGAACAATAGGATAACAATCTATATAAAATAATTTTAAAGTCATTATTGGTAGAAATATATTGTTAAATTTACAATTAAATAACAAGGTCGTAATTTGATAATTAAAATCAAAAACTGCAGTAATATAAGGGAATAAATATATACATAATTAATTAACAAACATTTAACAATATTTCCCCGTCATAATTATTTCCATTATTTATTTTTTAATTCATTTATTGTATTATTTAAATATTTATTTTTTTAAATTCTTCTTTCATCGGAAAATTTTTTTCTTCCTTTCAATGAAAATTTCATTAAAAAAGAAAAGCTTATTGTTGAAATCTTTGATGTGGTTTGTCAGTAAATTTAGATAGAAAAAAAAAGAAGAACGTGACTCGACTGAAAAATAGTCAAATTGACGTAACAACTGTTTCCTGCATTAGAAAAATGTATCAGAATGTTACTACTATGTTGACTATTTCTGAATCAAGTCACGTCGTTCCTTTTCCAAAGATGTTGCGCGCCTTTTCTACACATAAAAAAAGAAAGAAAAAAATATTCAGTCCGAACTAATCAAACATTATTTTCAAATCGTTTAGATTAAAAAGTATAGGTTTTTGGGACAAAAATTCAAAGATTTAGGTTCAAGAAGTTGAACAAATTTTTTAAACAATAAAATTTCAAAAACAAATTCAAAAAATTATTTTTTGAAAAAACTTTATTTTTTGACTTTCTTGTCGTCAATTTAGATTTTTGGCGTAAAAATTAGTACGAAAATGTACTTTCTTTCTTGGAAATAAGTAGTACAGGTAAAATTTGGTCAGACATATTTATTCAATTAATATTTTCTTATTTTTATATTATATTATTTAAGTCAGTAGTATAAAAATTCAGTCAAAAAGGCTTTTTATTAGTTTTCAAATTAATATCAGTAGTAGAGGTTAATTTCAGTCAGACATGACTGGAAAGGTTAAAAAATTTTGTTTTTATTAACCTTTTATTTTTAAGTAAGTAGTAAAGTAACAAATTAAGTCAGTTTTTCAAATTTAAGGAAATTTAGAAAGTCCATTGAATTTAGAAAAATATTTTTAAATTTAGAACTAGTAGTATAAGTCAATATTCGGTCAGTCAGACGGCTAAAATTTGTTT